AGGAGGAGTGAGGAGCGGCGCGCTTCCGCTACTCGACGCAAGGAAGGCAGGGCGGAGCACGCGACGGCGGGAGGGGAGGCAGAGATCTGGGAAGACCAGAGACAAGGAGACAGGAGTGCATGCCACACAGGCGTGGCAGGGAGGGGTGACTAAGGCGGTGGTGCCAGAGAAGAGTCTGGTGCGACAGGAGGCGACACGAGCAAGGGGGTGCTACCTGACCTGACGCAGACACTTGGGTAGACTTAGCTACCTGAGGAGGCTCGGTAGCCTGTGTGTACAGACTCAACCCTGGCCGACGAGTGAACGTGGCCAGGTGACGACCTGTCCGTGTACACGTGCAGATCGACACACGCTGACCCCTAGGAGTGGTGGTAGTGACCATTGCATCCTGGAGGGCAGTGGTACTCACCAAGTTCATAGAGAATGAGGGGAGGTGAAGACCTGACAGTGAGGCGGACGGAAGCGCTGGACACGGGAGGACAGTGGAGGAACAGGCAACGACCGGGCCCCCGGAGGGGTCAGCCAGTCGGACCGGGACAGGTGCAGGGAGAGGAGTGAGAGTGGTGCTGTTACGAAAGAAACAGCGTGAGGCACCTGAGTCCAACGTGAAGGTGTGGAAGGCCTCACCACGCGCAGTACCAGGCAGAGTACTAGACTCACTAGCACCTAGAGCAGCAGTCGTATACCTGGGTCAGGTGGCACACATTGGTAACAGTCACCCTCAGCACTATCAGACAAAGCATACAGAGCAGAAAGGATAGCATCAAAGTCTAGGTAAAAGATAGCAACTCCAGACATAAGCATATCTGCCCAGCGAGGGCGCTCGACCTCGTCACCAAACTCAGCTCGCCAAGCGTTGCGAGGCGGGAGAAGCAGCGGTGCTGAGTGTGAAGCCTCCCGCATGTCTGACCAGCACGGTCACCCATGCGAATGACATACGGGCAGCTATCACTACCCCCAGACGTCCCACGCTGAAACAACCACTCACGAAGCTGCTGGGGTGACTGGGTCTCACTCCGACGCTGCTGCTGCTGCCACTATCCACCTCCAGAACCTCCATGCCAAGCTCCAGTCCTACCGCCACCAATCCCACCGCCGCCACTACCGCCACTTCCACCACTGCCTCCACCGCCACCACCAACGCCCCCACTCCCGCCACTACTCCCACCGCTGCAACCACCTCCACTGCCTCCACTACCTCCATTGCTGCCCCCACCACCACTCCTGCTGCCCCCTCCACCACCCTTGCTACCCTTGCCCTTGCCGCTTCGGCGTTTCGCACTAGCAGAAGCACCAGGGACGTCTGCAGTATCAGCAGAGGCATAGGAGGGGGCAAGGGGGGAGGGGGAGCACCCCTCAAAGAAGGGCGGGCGCGGAGTGCCTCGAGCAGCACCTACAGCTACTGCACTAGTCTCAGCTACGAGGAAGTGCTGCTCAAGTTGGTCAACAGTGAGGGAGGTGGTGTCAAGTGAGAGAAATTGGTCGCTAACAGAGTGAAGAGAGTAAGGGAGGCGGGTGGCTATGAAGTAGAGAGTGATGAACATCAGGGGCTGGTTCCTGTCAAGGAACTCAGCAGGGACGGTAGTGCGCTATCGAGCGTCGCTAGTGCGGAGGTGGGAAACAAGGTCCTCTACCGTGGCAAAGGCAGACAACTCGGGGAAGAGGTAGGGTAGAAGTAGGCGGCCTAGAGCAGCAGTGACAGGCGAGGAGTAGCGAGTGACTACACCGTGGTACAGTGCCTGTGCTGTCGTGTGCTGTCCGAAGTGAGCGCATTTGGCTAACGGCAGGTGGTTGCGAATGGCTAAGCGGGCAGCAGCGTCGCGAGTAAGCCACTGTCAGCTGTGGCGGGAGGGGTAGTAGCGGCGCCTGATGCGAGGTCAAACAGTGAAACATTGTCCTTAGAATCGCTCAGTAGGTACAGCTGCTGGTCGTCGAGCCATATGTCAAACTGATTCGGTCTGCCCTCATGATCAAACGAGAGAACTCGGAGCGAAGCCATAGTGGCGCAGCAAGCAGGAGCAGAAGTAGCAGCAGTTGCAGCAGCAGTAGCAGCAGTAGCAGTAGCAGCAGTAGCGGCAGTAGCAGCAGTAGCAGTAGCAGCAGGAGCAGCAGTAGTAGCAGTAGCAGCAGTAGGGGCCAAGGGGCTGGGGGCCCAAGGGCAACGGGCCGGGGCGCGCGGGCTAGGGGCGACGGGGCCGGGCGCGCGGGCTAGGGTCGACGGGGCCGGGGCACGCGGGCTAGGGGTCGATGGGCCGGGGCGCGCGGGCTAGGGGTCGACGGGGCCGGGGCGCGTGGGCTAGGGGTCGACGGAGCCAGGGCGCGCGGGCTAGGGGTCGACGGGCCGGGGCGCACGGGCTAGGGGTCGACGGGGCCATGGCGCGCGGGCTAGGGGTCGACGGGGCCGGGGCGCGGGCTAGGGGTCGACGGGGCCGTGGCGTGCGGGCTAGGGGTCGACGGGGCCGGGGCGCGGGCTAGGGGTCGACAGGGCTGGTGCGCGGGCTAGGGGTCGACGGGGCCGGGGCGCGAGCTAGGGGTCGACGGGCCGGGGCACGGGCTAGGGGTCGATGGGGCCGGCTAGAGGCGACGGGCCGGGCTAGGGGCGTGCTGGCTGGGGCCTACGGGCCGAGCTAGGGGCAACGGGCCTAGGGGCGACGGGCTAAGGGGCGACACGAGGGCCGCTAAGTGCAGTGCAGTGGTGGGCCCAAAAAACAAACCGGTCCTAGCAGAGGATCTGCTCTGAAACCATGTCAAAATAATGAACGAGAAATGAATGAACTATGAAACAGTTGGGTACAAGTACTAACCCTAATTGGGTTGTACCCCTTATGGGCTACCCCACTATAGCTTACACAATGTAAGCTGTATATAACTTTGACACATAACATAGGTGGCCAAATGGTTTTCCCTTTTATGCTGCATAATGAGCATTCTATCTAACATGAAAGCAATCAAGGGCTCACAACTTGACGGGGTTGCCACCTGAGTCGCACTCCACACCCATCAAGCTCCCACTCGCTACGGTGCCTGCTGTCCCTGCCAGCGTGCAAACAGCGTTTGCCGCCCAGCCTGTGTGCGTCACTCCCAAGGCTGTTTTGATGCTCAGCAGCGCTGCCATTGTGGGTGGGAGAGGGAGAGGGATGATGAGAAGAGTGGGGATTGAACTGAGAGCTTTGAAAGGGAAAGGAGAACGAGATCAGGGTGGGGAAGGACCAGTGAGCTGAGATTGTATGTGGAATGAGAAAGGAAAATGCAGGCAGGCAGGTGAGATTCCCATGCTACCCATTCCTGTGCAGATTGCCAAGTGAAGAGGGGGGCGTGGCCCCATGCTACCCATGCCCATGGGATGGGGTGTCTTATTGGCAGCAGAGTTGACGGGTACAGCTGGCAGCAAGGAGCTTTCCAGAGGGAGCGTAGGAGCAGAGGGGCCATTGAGCGTTGAGAGGGACAAGAGGGAAGCAGCTGTGGGCTGGCAGCTAGATGCACCACCGCCGCCACACAACACCCCTGTGCAATCGGCACTGCCACAGATACTGCATGTGGGTCTCTGTGTTATGTGATGCTATCACTTGCATTCACGTTTGTCAGCCTCCCATCTTATGTTCGTGCGTTGCATGCGTGGTGTGAGCATGTGGAAGAATTTAGATTCGGCGTGATTTGGATTTTCTGAGTGTGTGTGAATATTTTGCTTGAGCAGATATCTGAAATGACTCCTGTGCTCAAGAGCTTTTCGACGAACCAAGAATCACCACGATCGGAGCAAGAACGAGAAAGATATGATCGTTCGAAGTTTTGATTGTGATGCGGCGACTATGGGAATTTGCGGGTTGACTCAATATGGGGTACAGAATTTTGGGGGCTGGGAAATTCGTCCCCATCACTGTAGTTGATGCCAAGTGGTTGGGAGAAGCCAAACCAGGTTGGCAAGTGTGGCCATGTTGGGTGAGGTGGATGGCATGAGTTGGGAAAGTGACAAATGTCAAAGTTGGGGTGCCTGTAGAGGGGGGAATTGTGTGGTATGAGGTTTCCTTGGTTGGGGACTCTCTTGGAACATACCCTCTCGTCCTCCTCATCCCCTGCTACCTGGTTTATTGCTACTCTAATTCTCTTGTGTGGTACTTGTGAGACAATTGTGATTGAGTTAAGTTTCCATGGCAGCATACCCCTTAGTGCGCCGAAATTCATAACTCGAGTTATACTCCATATTTTGATACGATTCAAATTGTGAAAGTTGGCCACGGTCAAGGGATACAAAATACTAGAGTTTGAGAGAATTCTAACAGTGCGTGTTTTGTCAACCGCGTTTCTTGTAAAGTCGACAATTCTGTCCAGAATTCCAGCCCAAGGATTTTGTGATATTTCGGCCCCTAATCTTCGTAGACTCCGTCCTTAGTCTCTAACACTCTGAACAGTCCCTTTTCCTCCGTCCGCCGTGCAAGCAGCAGCATTCGTGAAACATTTGGTGCGTGCCGAGCAGGACTGCCAAGAACCTGCTGGGAAGGTTCCCACGAGGTTGTTGTTTTCGAGGTCCAGGTGCTTGATGGTGGTGCTTGGAACCGGGACGCTCGCAGTGAGATAGTTGGAGCCCAGACTCCTGTGGGATGACGCATGTGTGGTGGGGAGCAGCGGCTTGGAATGAGTCTATTTGATAGATAAAGCAGCAAATGTTTGGCTACATAGGTGCATCACATTCTCAAGTTAATGCAGTAGCCCTGCATAGCGACACACAGGGGCAGAAGGAGAGGACAGGACACACAGTAGCATTGCATACTATGTATGCAGGGCAGAGGCAAGAGGACACACAGATGCATACCACTCCTCTGTGCAAGGCAGAAGGATTGCAGAGGAAGTAGCTGAAGTGGCAGGTGAAGGCATGGCATGATACCCAAAGACAGGGCATGGCCTGGCATGATACCCAAAGTCAGGGCATGGCCTGGCATGATACCCAAGGACAGGCCATGGCCTGGCATGGCATGGCACACAAGGACGTTAAGGTAGTAATCTCACAGCTTGGAGAGGCTCTTGAGACTGATTAGAGCCGAGGGGATGGGCCCAAACAGGTAGTTGTAGTGCAGTTGGCTGTACAGCACACAGGGAAGAGGGTGGGGGGAAGGAGTAAAAGAGAAGGTGGATGGGAAAGAGCCGAGGGAAGGAGGGTAATGGGAAAGGAGCAAGAGAAAGGGTGAGGGGGGCTTAACCAAGGCATTGCATTTGAAGTTTCTTAATGGTATCGTAGGCCCATACGGCCGAGACGTGTGAAGGCAGTTGGGGTGTAAGGTGCTTCAGGTACGCATGGTAGGAGAAAGAGGGACGCACACAAAATGCAGGCGCAAGGGAGGAGATAGAGTGAGGGTAGTGTACCAATTAAGCCAACGAGCTCCAGGGGCTCGTTTAAGAGTAATATAGCTACAGGTCTTCCCAAACTCTATTAAGCGCTTTAACCTTTATTGTACCCTTCCCCTTTCTGTAGTACCCACCGTGCAGTGATTGAAATGGAGGACCATCTGAGAGGAGCATGAATATAAGCAAATAGAAAGCTTGAGAGAAAGTGACGTACATGTTCTCCAGCTTGGAGAGGGAGGTGAAGGGCGCTGTGAAGGCATCCAGGCAACCAGCTAATAAGTTTGAGTGGAAAACCCTGAGCAGGTACAGGGGGATGGGTTGAGACGGAAGAGGAGAGAATGGGATGGGTTCGGATGGCATCCGTGCGCTGCAAAGGGGCACGTGCAGCATAACACATGAGGTGAAGCAGACATGGGAGGCAGGTGTGTCTTGGAGAGGACATCGTGGGGTGGTTGAACTTGAGGGTTGGGTGCTAGCAAGTGGCCCTCACAAAGAGTGTGCTTATAGAGCGGTGGGCTTACAGAGCAGTGAGCGCAATGAGCTTGGAGATATCTGCATGCATGGACCCAGCCAGCTGGCGCGTGTTGAGGTTGATCTCCACCACAACACCGGCCGGGCTGCACAGCACGTCTCCCAAGTCCCTTGGGCCAGGAGAGGAGCTGCTGACCCCGGAAACCACGAGGACCACTTTGCACAGGGAGCTCACTCCCCAGTTAGTGAGAGGCACTCCCAGCACCGCCTTGAGACTCCCAAACACCGATATTGGGGAGTGGGGTAAGGTGGGTGGGGGAGGGAGAAGAGAAGAAAGGAATGGTGGAAGGAGAGTGATAGAGGAGCGAGGGGAGATGCTTGAGGGAAGTAGTGAGATAGGGAGTGGAGAGAGAGAGAGCAGCAAAAGCGCACGGTGGAAAATGAGAAAATTTCTACAAAAAGAATAAGGGCACCAGGCGCACCTGCTGTGGCGTGAGTGCGCACACCCGAGCATTGCATGGGCAGCATATCAGCAGAGGCACTATTAGGCGTGAGTGCATTCATGGACATTGTAGTGTCCGGCGTGCACACCCCTCCATTCCACACAACCGCACTGGAACTCCCCAAATTACAAACGTTGCAGTCAGAGGCAAGCCTCTGGGAGGAGGAGACAGAGGAAAGGCACTTGGACGAGTCTTCTAGGCAGTTGCTGCGTGCATCACATGCGGTGATAGAAGATGCTGGGAAGGTTCCTGTGAGGAGGTTGGAGGCGATGTTGAGGGACTTGAGGGAGGCATAGGGAGTGCCGATGATGGGACCAGCGAGGTAGTTGAATTTCACGTTGCTGGAGGCGGGGGGGTGGGTAAAGCACGAGAGGAATGGCAGATGGAGTGAGGGGGGGTTGAGTACGGGGAGCCACGGCTAAGGGGGTGAGCAGTGAAGTGGGGGGAGGTGCCATGATTGGTGATATGAGTGATGATGGAAAGATGTATTGAATAGTGAAGAGGGCTATTTATAAAATGACGGGAAAGGGACGTGCTTGGTCATGTGAGTGAAGGAGGGTGAGTATATGCAACTTAAGTACCATGATGGAGGGTGCTTACAGCGTTGAGAGAGAGGACATGGTGAGGAGGAATGAGAGCAGAGGGTCGGAGAACCAGTTGTAGTTGAGAGACCTGTAGGGCAGAGGTGGAGGGAGATATATTCACTCGAGTTAAGAATATACAGAAGAGAAACTTCAGAAGTGGGAAAAACATGCAAAAAGAAAGCCGCACAAGATAAAATCGGCACGAGAGAAAAGCCGCACAAGAGAAAAGCCACACAAGAGAAAATCCGAACAAGAGAAAATCCGCACAACAGAACTTACAGATAAGAACAAGGAAAAAAAGGCACAAGGGAAATTGGACAATTGAAATTACGAAGGAAAATAATGCTATGAGCGATGTAGGCACACATAAGGAGGGAATCAAGGCCTGGCTTCGTCTGGCTTGGTCTGGCCTGGTTTGGTCTGATCTGGTGTGATCGGGCGTGATATGGCCTTGCACGCAACCACATGGAAAAGAGAGCCTGGTATGCAAAATGCAATGCAAGGCCGCTTGCCATGCGGTGTGGCAGAGGCAGGCTGTGCAGGCAGGAGGACTGACAGTTGCTTGAGTGCCTTGAGACCTGTGAGAGGCAGAGCCCACTCACTCATGCGCGCATCCAAGAGGTTGGGCGCCACGTTGCTGGGAGCACGGGGGCACAGGGGCACAGAGGCACAGGGGCACCGGGGCACAGAGGCAAAAAGGCTTAGGGAGAGAGAGCAGCGGGGAGTGTGGGGAAACGGGTAGGGAGTTGAAAAATGCGAAATGTGAGGTTTAAGGAGCAGGGCGTAGAATCAGAATACGTTTGGACGGGTAAGGTGGAAAGTGGGGGGAGGTAAGTGAAGATGGATGGATGCGGGGCCATGTGTTGGTGAAAGCAGCAGCACTCACAGGCTGGTGAGCGCAGTGAGCCTGGAGATGTCGGCATGCAAGCTGCCACGAAGCTTCATGTTGGAAAGATCCCTGTTGTGACGCCAGCAAGCCCACGTCACCCACGCAGCAAGGAAAGATGAGTATTGAGCATGAGGCACATGAGTGCAGTGCAGCGAGCAAGACAGCGTGCGGTGTCAGTTGCAGGAGATGTGCCAACCTCAGTGTTGCCCTCATGTCACATGTATGAACGTTTGTATCAGGGCAACCCTCTCATGGTGCAAAGCATTCACATACAAGGGACGCACAGGCAATCTGCACCCGTTGAGGCGAGTTAATATGTTTGTAGACATAGCACACACACGACACACATAGCACACACATAGCACATGCGCATAGCACACACATAGCACATGTGCATAGCACACATAAAGCACATGTGCATAGCACACACATAGCACACACATAGCATGCACATAGCACACATATAGCACACACGTTGGACTTGCACACACCACCCCCACATGCACAGGCTAAGGACTTGGCCCGAGAGGTCGCAGACGACGCCCGTCCAGCTGTCCACCGCGGGGGCGTTGCCCGCCAGCGTGCAGGGCGAGTCCACTGCCTAGCTGCTCGCACTCACGCCCAGCCTTGCCTTCAGTGCCAACAGCGCCAGCGCTGGGGGGAGCAGGGGGGAGGGGCAAGGGGGGAGGAGAAAAAGGGAAGGAGAAGAGGGAGGAGCAGGAGGGAGGAGCAGGAGGGAGTATGCCATGGGGTAAGAGAGAGTGGATCAGTGGGGAGAGTGGAAGGTGGGATGGAAGGGAGCAGAAGGGTGGATGGTAGAGGCGAGGGAGAGGGTGAGGGTGAAGTGATACAGACACTAGGCGTGGGTGGGTAGAGCACAGATATCGAAGGAGGCAAAACAAGGTTGGGTGGGTTGAGCACTGATTATGGTGTGAGTGGGAAGCACACACTCAGCATGATACAAAGCTGTCAAGCAACGAAGAGAAGGCCAATCAGAGTATGAACCCTGGCATACTTGTGCTGATGCTGCTGCAGATATTGGTACGTTCGATTCATTGCCACTAACCACAGTTATCATCCACTGTAATGGCAATTTTCTAGGCGCTAAGAAGACTGTCGCATCGCATAGCGTTCCACTCACCAGAGTTATCATCCACTGCAACTGCCTGGCAGAACATTGCTGGGAGGGCGGCTGCAGGGGTGTTAACAGTGCCGGCAGCAAGGCGAGCAGCGGCATCGGGAGTGCAGGTGGTGCCCGGACAGAAAGGCGGGGTGGCGCCCGTGGTGGAACCACAGAAGGCACAGCCGGAGGTGCGCTGAGCCACACCAACATCGTTGGTGCAGGAGCCCGGCGAGGAGAGGCAGTTGCTGCGGATGTCGCACAGCTAGAAGGGCTGCGTGGGGAAGACGCCCGCCAGGAGGTTGATGGCGATGGCCAGCACCTGCAGCTGCGTGGCCATGGCTAGCAGCGTGCCCGTCAGGTAGTTTGCTGCCAGCCGGATGTGCGGAGGGGGAAGGAGGGGGTGGAGAGGAAGAGGATTGAAGGCAATGAGGGCATGGAAATGGGCATGGGCATGGGCATGGGCATGGGCAAGGACCTGTGCGTGGGCATGGCATAGCATAGGCATGGGCATAGGAAAGGCATGGGCATAGCGTAGGCATGGGCATGGTCATGGGCATTGCAAAACTGAGAGTTCTGTGAGTCGAGGAATGTTGGGCATGAGCGTGAATATGGGTATGGGCACAGGCATGGGCACAGGCGTGGGCATGGGCATGGGCATGGGCATGGCAAAACTGACAGTACTGTGAGTTTAGGCATGTTGACCAGAGCCGATGAGATACTGTCATAGAGGAAGTTGGAGTTGAGGTTCCTGGAAATGAGAGCACAAGAATGAGAGCACATGGGAAGCACATAGGGAAGATAGTTATTAGAGTGAGCAGTGGTGAGTACCCACGCTGGTCCGTCCTGGGTTAGCCCATGATGCACAAGTCTGTGACCCCTGTGTCAGAACTTGAGCTGAGAATCCATGCATTAGTAATGAGCTCGAAGCTCTTTAAGTACATCCAGGATGAGCAAGGGATGGATGGGGAGGGGAATCAGGGACAATCTCTAGGGATTGGGGGTAATCGCAAGGCAATCTCCAATTGGTGGGTTGGGGATTGCTTGGAGATCACATTTTGGTTTGGTTGGGATGTAGGTGTACACCCAACCAAACACAATGTGCAAACTACACTACACTAGGATATAGAAAGTATAAAATACAAAGTGTGAGATTGAGGGCTAACACTAACACCCTGCTCCCTCTTCTCTAACAGTAGGTGATTCAACACTAGGTGATTCAACACTAGGTGATGTGCCCGTCTAACGCATAGAAGCAATGGCGGGTCGAACTCGGGCTGGATGATTCAAGAACCCTGTGACTGCAGGACAGGTCTCTAGGGCTCACATCGAAGCAATGTTGGGTGCTGCTCCCCTGGTAACCTTGCAATCTCAGAGAGGTCGTATTGGTGAGTCTTTTGGGAGTTTTTAAAGGCCGAATCACAGAGTGGCCATGGTGGTGAGACGTTTGAGTATTCATGGAAGTCAAGTCACAGAGTGGCCATGGTGGTGAGACTTTTGAATATTCATTGAAGTCAACTCACAGAGTGGCCATGGTGGTGAGACTTTTGAGTATTCATTGAAGTCAACTCATAGAGTGGCCATGATGGTGAGTGGCAGCATGTTGGAGAAGAACTTGGAGAGCTGACCAGAGAAGAGATTGTAGGACAGATCGCTGCGAGTGCGGGTGGGAGAGGAAGAGCAGGGGAAGGAGGGAGAGGAAGACGAGATGTGGAACCGAGGCTGGGTAGGTAAGAGTTGTGTGGACCCATGTGTGAAGAATTCAATTCTAACTTAGCTAGCATGCGTGTGAAAGTGAAAACAGGCTTATAGAGTACGCCCCAGGTTGCGTGGGGTTGAGGTTGAGGGTTGGACGTACAGGTAGGAGAGGGCAGTGAGCTTGGATATGTTGGCATGGATGATGCCCCTCAGTGCCTTGTTGAGCAACGTGCTGCCATGGGATAGCGGGAGCAAGAGGCATGTGGATAGCAGGAGGCATGGGATTAGCAGGGGTAAATGCATACTCAATGAAAGACCATACGCTCATGCCCTTTGTCCCCATTGCTATGGAAACCCATGGCTTTCCGTGCGCTGAACTCCCCATGTTCCTCAAGCTCCTGGCAGACGCTGCTGAGCGGCGTTCTTCAGCGCTGACCCCTCGACCCACCAGGCAGCTAAGCTGCTCCACCAACACCACCAGCGGTGGTGGGTAGTGCTTCAATGGGGGCAGGAGGTCTGCTTGAGCATCAAGGAAAACACCACGCTCGAGGCTGAGAGACCGACGATAGGTGCCCCGAGGAGTCCATGGGACGTGGGGATGCGTTTGGCATGTTGGAGCCCTTCACGGCGCTCCCTTACTATAGCTCAAGGCAGAGACGCATGGCAGCCTACTACACAGTGCACACACTCAACACTCACCTTGTATGTCGTTGCATTCCTTTGAAGGCTTGTACCCAGGTGTATGTCAAATAGACGGACCATTCGAAAGAGAGAAAGAAAGAGTGAGTGCAAGGATAGCAGTACTACACGCAGACTCATGAAGGACCATTTGAGAGAGAGAAAGAGAGAGAGTGAGTGAGTGCAAGGGTAACAGGAAGGCAGGGGAGGCTCACATGGAGAGGACGGTGCCGTTGGCGCTGCACCACACGCCCGGCCATGATTTGGGGTTGCCGCTCTGCCCCTCAATGTTGCACTTGCTGCCGTTGTGCCAGTCTGTGTCTCGGATCCCGAGAGCCGCCCCTAAGCTCAACAGTGCCGCCGCTGCCGGTGGGAGTGCACATGGAGGGACAAGGGGGAGAGGATGCTGGGTGGATAAATGCAGGCCTGCAGTGTAGCAAATGGGCTATACAGCAAGGGAGGGTGGTTGGTGGTGTGATGGTTCTATGGGGTAGATGGGGGCAAATAAAAAGAAAACAAAGGAAAAAAGGGGGGGCATGGAGGAAAGGGATCCACATATCAGAGGCATCAAAAAGAGAAGGGACTCATGAGACGTGAGATCAAGAATCACGAGAGCGCATGTCAAGGCACGCCAAAGAGATATGGAAAGACAAGGTCCACGAACTCACGTATGGCAGCAGGGAAGGAACGGAAGGGGCTCACCAGAGGTTGCATCAAGGGGCACGGCAGCACATGTCATGGTGAGAGTGGGGGCAGCAGCACTGTTGGGAACCTTAGCGAGGGAAGGAGGGAGGATGGGCATGCAAGTGCCACCTCCACACAGCGCCTGCTTTGTCTGCAGTGATCCACACATGCTGCACTCTGCTGCTGTCCTCTGTGCAATTGCATCCAGGTTGAAGCAGGCTGAGGCATCCAAGAAGCACTTGAGGCGAGCGCTGCAGGCTGCTAGTGATGCTGTGGGGAAAGTGCCTGAGAGGAAGTTGGCCTGTGCTTCAACACCCTTCAGCAGCGGCACAGGACCAGCCAAGGCCCTGCTCGCGCTTGTGCACATGGATGTGGTGGGCCCTACGAGGGCCCCTTCTCTCTCGGGCAGCCGCTACTTCTTAACCATTGTGGACGACCACACGAGTGCCATATAGGTGTACCCTCTCAAGACTAAGGGGGAAGTGACAGCGGCTGTTCTTAAGGAGTGGATGCCGAGAGCTCAAAGGGAGAGTGGACACAAGGTGAAGGTGATCCGCACTGACAACGGGGGAGAATTCATTGGCGCTGATTTTGATGCGGTGCTGAAGAAGAAGGGGATCCAGCATCAGCTCACGGTGCCCTACAACCCTCAGCAGAACGGCGTGGCTGAGCGCTTCAACCGGACCCTGCAGGAAGGTGCTCGCACTCTCCTTGGGCGTGCAGGGCTGCCGGATCCGTTTTGGGTGACTGCACTGCGGCAGGTTGCCCTTGTGAAGAACAGGGTGTTGGCGACTGTGGGGGACAAGCAGTGGGTCCCCTACACCAAGTGGTATGGGAGTGCACCAGCAGTCAACATGCTGAGAGCCTACGGCTGCA